AGTGCGGGTGCTCGGCATCCTTGAGTGCCCGGCTCACCGGCCTTCGACGAGGAATGCCCGGCAGCGGCGCGCAGTGATGGGGCGCTCGACAGTAGCGCACGGCAAAGGAGTGCTCGGCTATAGGAGTGCTCGGCCGCGGAGTTCTTGGCATGAGATGCGCGGCATGGGAGCACTCGGCCATGGGACGCTCAGTGTGGTGGTGCTCGGCCTGGTAGCGTTCCTCGTGTGCTCGACGTGAGTGCCTGGCAGACGCGTGGTATTGCGAAGAGGTCAACTTCATGGGGAAAGTTGGTATCACCTAGGGTGCGGTGTCCTTTGGTACCCCGTACCGTACCGCGGGGGCTCCGCCCCCGCACCCCTGATCCAACTAAGCGATACGCTCGCAGGCATCAGCCTGCCCCCTTCCTTTGTCAATATACGAGCCATACCAACACATTCCTTACAACAAGTTCAACTTGTCTAAGGAATGGGAGGGCTAGATGATATGGTCGTTAGTAGTGGCTCGTGAGGAACCGGTTGTGATCCGGTCATCATTATCAATATGAAGGGGACCGGCTAAGCATTATGGTAGTCGGCGGTTAGAAGTGCTCGGCGTCGCACGATGTTCGGCGCCCCTCAAGTGCCTGGCATTGGAGGTGGTCGGGATGAAGTGTCTGGCGCGACATTCCCCGGTATGATGAGTGCCTGGCGTGGGGTAAATGTTCGGCGTAGGAGAGTGCTCGGCCAAGGGAGGTGCCTGACGGCCCTCGTACGCTTAGCAGCCCTCGTGTGTTCGGCAGCCCTCGTATGCCGTCGGAGGGGCTAGAACCTGAAGATGGATTCGGGATCAAGTTACGAAGGAATTGGTGGCGACAAGGACTCTTGCAATTCAGGATGATCTTGACCTAACTAAGTAGTTTACACAAGAAAGACTTCTTATCCCACTGGGACTCTCCAAAATTCTTCTATAAAAAGGAGCAGGTTCATTCATTTTACACAACACACATTCACGAACTATCTCGTTACTCTGTTGTTTTCTCTCTAGACCATCACTGACTTGAGCGTCAGAGTGTTCGCGCCGGGACCACCCCCAGCGTGCTTTGCAGGTACCGACGATCAGGGAGACGCAACCCGGTTCGAAAGGAGCGGTCCAACGGTTCGAATATTTGTGGTATAACACGCGGCATCAACTCGCCGCTGTTCATCGAGACCAGACCCCGCAAGCATCCTCTTCGATGTCCCGCGTGCGCTCTGTTGTTCTCGTCGTGCTACAGTTCGAGATTGTTTCGAGCCAACAGACCACCCGTGTTCCGCCCCGCGAGCCGTAGTTGTCGAGCCCGACGAGCATACTCCCGGCCTCCGACCAACCCATCACGGTCATTGTTTCATTCGTTGTCGCGTGTTAATCTCAAGAACGATACCGAAACTCGAATTCTCATTTCGTATATTCACATTTTGGAGCTTTAATGATAATACGTTATTTAGGGTTCATATATTGCGTTATGTGGTATTTTATCTATAAATTTGAGATCATTGTGAACTCTAGTTAAATTCGTGTATGTGCTGTGGATAATGGAACCTTGTCGAGTCCTTGGACTCATGGAGAAGCCCTTGGACGAATTTGGTGTGTTTCGAGTCATGTGTGAATTTTTGAAACCGAACTAGCTGCTGAATTTTGTTAAATTCGTAGTAAATCGCATGTTGCTCCAAATGAAGTGAAATTTGAGTGATGTCCTATGATGTTCATATAGGTTGTGTAAAAATTTCATGATTTAATTCTAAGTGTAGCTATTTTTAATAATTGTTTTGATTTCTGGGCAGAATCCTGTAAATTGCATAATAAATCGAGTTGTGCTCCAAAATAGCTGAATGTTTAATATGTTGTCCCTATGTATATTTGGATGTTGTGTAAAAATTTCACAATTTTTAGACTTCGTTTGCTAGGGTAATCAATTGTTTATGTTATTATGCTGTAATTTGTTTGAATTTTATAACTACTTTTATGTTGTATTACTTGGCATAAAATATTCAGAATTTAATTTGTTCATTATGATAGGTTTTTAATTAAAATGAGTTTTCTGCTGAATATTGTCAGAATTTTTATAATTTGTGTGTTTCATGTTTAAAGCTGAAATTTTTATATGTTAACCCGCGCACGCTGTAGTTGCTTGGCTAAAAATTTCAAGTGTTAATTCGTTCCTTAGGTCAGACTTTGAAATTGTGCTCGTTTTTGCTGAAAACTTGGTTTAATTTTATAAAATTGGATATTTTGAATTAAGGGCTGAAACTTGGTTGTATTACTATGTTTATATATGAGAGTTTTGTGTTAAAATTTTGGAGCTTAATTCGTTAGTTAGCCTGACCATCTTGAATTTAAGTGTTTTTCCTCATGATTGGTTTCGAGTAGAGTCTAAGTGTTAGGTCCTAAGTGTTCCAATGTCCACATAACTTCACGAACAACTTAGTCGAATCAAGTTCGACTAAGTATGATTTGTGTTTTCCGTTCAAGGTCAAGATAAGATGTTGATTGTAGCATCTTGACTTATTGTCGGTGCTTAACGATCCGAGCTCGCCGCCTACTCCTATTTGTGTTATATCTCTCTTAATGTTCCAGGTGGGTTTACTTATTAAAAACTTTCTATGTCGTATATGTGTTTCGTTTATGTTGGGTTAGTATGATCTAAGTATGCGTGTAAACCATGTAGCCTATCGGCGTAAGCCAATTCGGCCATCGGTACGGTTGTCCCCGTAGATGTAATACGGTTACCCTTGCGAGGTAAGTCTCCCAAAGACCTAATGAAAGGTCGTGTCCGTAGCGTGGCACGTACCCCCACCTTTAGGGTAATGAATCCCCTTTCCGTGGCTAATGAAAGATGTGTACACAGAGGTAGTATGTTATGTTGTGTTGTGATATGGAGATGTGACAGAATAATTGATTTATATTCATACCGCGATCATACTTTCTTGACATTGTTATTATTGTGATATACGTGCATAGTGGTGAGCATTACGGTTTCCACTTGTACTCATCCCACCTGCTCTTCATGTATACAGGTTAAGGAAGGTTGGCGAGCATGACGATCGAGGGGCGAGTGGGTCAGTCATGTATTTACTTTAATTATGCTTCTGTTGAATAAATGTGGTCTTTTGAACCTCTGATGTTGAGACATTTGAGAACCGTTTTCAAAACCTATGTTTTGTTTTTATGTTAGGAATGCTTTGATGAACCCTTTATGTTGGATTTAAATATTCATGATGTTGGTTTTATGAGGTTTCGAATATTCATGCTGAGTATACTGTTATTTGATGTGGTTTGGGTTAATGAAAACCTTGTGAAAGTCGGGTAATGAATCCCCGTGGACCCAGATAAGACTTGGGTTATGTAAATTGTTGTTTAATGCCCATGTATTTCGAAAATCATTTCGAAAATTGTTTACTTAATATTTGGAAAGCCCAGGATTTCTTTAAAATCAAAGTGAGGTGTTACAGAGAGAGTTTTTTATTGGATAATGTTACATGTATAATTATAGTTGACAACACTAGTTATCACACTTATTGAGTCAAATTTTAACGATACATTTAGTTGCATCTCAACTATCTACATCATTCTACATCATGTTGTCATAAAATGTCATACAAAATAATTGTACAGGTAGCTTTTTTCTTTTTTCTTTTTTATTTTCTTTTATTTTGTTACCTTTTACTCGGTCATTCAAATACCACCCCACCTGTTAATTAGCATCCATTTACACTTGTATATAACCTACTAAATAATAAAAATAAGTAGGCCTCTATGGATATAACATTCTCTGAAAGCTATTTGTATACAATTACATTCCTCCCATGGATGGAATACTTGTTGATACAAAAATGGATTAGTCACAACTACAAAGTCAAGCAGTTTCAAGAACGCTCTCCTTAGGCATACTTTTGTTGCTTACAGGTATTATATCGCATTCTGCTTCGCTTGTAAGATGAAGTCTAGATAGGGCACTGCTCAGAACATGGGTTTGTGAAACCTCTTCTTCTGCTGCAATTGGTGCTTTGACCTCTTCGCTTGAAATGCCCAGCTGCAGCTTTTCAAATTCATCTTCGACATCATCATCATCTATGTCTCCATATGCATTTGCCGATTCTACATATATTAAGTGTAACGATTTTAGATAGACAGGCAAATATTATGCAACTTAAGAAAGAAACTGGCATTGCTCGTTCCCAAATTAGTTGACATGAGATGGATGATGGAAACTTTACCTAAAGCTTTATCAAGTTGTTTGAGTGAATCAATGTTCTCATCGACTTCCTGCAGACACCTCTCAACTTCTTCAAGATTGATTTGGTTTTCCTTCAAAGCCTGTGTGCAGCTTTGAATGGCATCTGAAAGCTGCACAACATAAGATGAGTTAGAAATACAAATAAAAGCAAGAGAACAAACGACAATAACAAAATAAACTGCTGATAGGTCAAAAATGTGTGTAGATTATATGTTCATAAAGCGTATGTTGAGTTTAGTCGCAAGCATATGGATGGATTAATGTACTGTGATATATATGTTTCATTTTGAGCCTATTGGAGTTTTTTTATGGATGAAGAATCATTGGACGGGAGATTTAGCAAGCCAGTATAGGGAATCCATCCTATACCACCCCACTTTGAGGCCCAAGTGTGGAGTTTCATAGGGCTGCATATTCAAAGCCTAATCTGAGGTTTTTCTGGCAGCACATGTATACATTTGGAAAAAAAAAAATTAGAGTACCAAGTATTTATTTGACGACATGACTTGTGGACATAATGGATTTGAGAGGAGAAACTTATTCAGAAAGAACAAAGGAAAACAAAAGGATGACACAGCCCACACACTGCGTAAAAGGAAGAGTTTGGACATATTAAAAAGGGACTAGCGCAGCACATAAAGGGGGCATCGAGGAATTAGAAAAGTAGCAGCAACACAGAGACAGAGACGTTGAGGTTTTCTGGAAGAGAAGTTTGCACGTGGGAGTGAAGACATTTTAGTTATCCATTTTAGTCGTCCAATATTTAGACAAAGCATATGTAACGTCTATCGCTTTCTTCCTACTCTTGAAAACAAAAAATTGCCATTCCATGCATTATCAGCAACTTCTACATTGAACTTAGTGTTACCTCGATTTTTTATTGGAACAACACTCAATGTCAATGAACCCTACTTATTGCAAAACCTTCTAATTCTAATTTAATACTTACTACGTGTCTCATCACCTAAAACTATATCTTCTGCAAATGAAACAAACAAACCAAAATTGGATGTTGATGGCCATCAACAATTAGAGCTGGATGATATAAATAATTCCCCACTCTCTTATATTGCACAAACTCAGCCACAAGAAAAGATTTACCGAGACAATGGAACATACCTTTTTAGAGGACTCGGCATCTGTAATGACCTCGAGAACTTTTTCCACCCGCTGAAGAAAAGACGAACATCTTTCTCTGCTCTGAGAAGCAAGCTTCAGTTCTGCTGCATATCTCAAGGCACGTCTCTTGTTTCCATCTTTAATAGAAGCTAAAGCCAAAGTTTTGCTTCTGCAGAAAGCCCCATTTAGAAGCAATGAGAACATATTCCTAAACAAGTAATAGATACTAATGCTAATAATAAGATCATAACAGAGAGTCGTCTTCATATCTCCAATTTTTAGACAAATTGACGAGATGTAACCCATCTAATATCCTACACAAAAACATTATACTACATTTACATTCTATCTGACATCTTCATGTTACACTGTTGGTCTACTTGAGACTGCTTAGAAAACACAAAAATCCACAAACTTTTGCATAATGTCATCAAAAGGCATAAGGAGATTATTACTTTTGATAGCGTTGGTCGATGGAATCAAGCTGCTGCTCAAGTTTCTCCGTAGTCCAAACTAAGTGCAAAATAGAGTAATCCACACTTGAGGGATTAGAAACAGCTCCAGGAGCAAGACACACTTTCACTCCCTGACAGCACGGATATCATCATTGATTTTACAACATTCAAAAGTAGACATACTCTTCAAAATTAAATTGGTGATAATGTAGCAGAATTATCATCCTCTTTTAAAACTTAAATGGTCGTGTATCCAATCAAAACTGTCAAAATCTATTAACACTGAAACTACCTGAATTAGATCCGGTCTGTTGATGGTGAGAAGTTTCGCTCTACCGCGTGCCGACAAGTAGCCCAAGATTGCAAGTGCTTTCTCCTCTGATCCATCACAGATATCCTGAAATTTCCTCATGGTAACAACACAACAAGACGTCCAATGATTTTCGGACAATACATGGACCACTTCAAGGGATCTCTCCTGTGCACAGGGAAGCCTTGTGATTTTTTACTTGTAAAAACAAAATCAGCAAAACAATACGAGAATCAGCAAAATCAGCAGGAATCATCAAGTAAAAAATCACCTGCAACAGCGGTTCAAGAATATAGTAATCTCCGGCGAGAGAAAGATCATCGTTGTTTTTCACGCCCAAAAAACCTAGGGCTCTGTCGAAAACGATGGAGAATCGGGAAGGTGAAGATGAACTAGGATGAGTGTGGGGCAGCAATAAGTCACCCGCGCGATGCATCTCGACAAGGACGCGATCGAGGCACAACGGCGTCAAGCCAGCTCGTCGAAACCAGAGGCTTTTGACGTGGGTAGGGCGGATGATGAAGATGCGGAGGTGGCGAGCGACCTTGATAATCAAATTCCTCCAGAAAAGATAGAGCGGCTCCCAATCAGACCTCTGTCCGCTTAGGGCCTTAAACCTTGCTCGACTCATGGCCTCATCGTCCCAGTCCCCGACTACTTTCTCAACAAAAGCCGCCACTGCCTCTGCCTCAGCCTCTACCTCCGCCGCCCATTTCATTTGCTTGCCCTCCATGTCACTACACCAAAACTTCGATTCACAATTATGTATGTAGGAATAAATTTTGACAGCTAAAACGTGCAACAAAAGGCTACACATAAACAAATCCAACATAAAG